TAAAATTGAAGTTGAATGCATCAATCTGGTGCACTTTGAGTGCAACGTTAAGAGATTTATGGATACAGCTCTCAACACACATATGAAACAGAACTGTATATATTTAAATAATCAAAAAACCATTAGAATATGCTAACAACCAATAACAAATCATTGATAAACTCCTCTCTCCTATCTTTATCTTACCTAGTCTGCATTATTTCTTTTTATTAGACTAAAGTTTACAATCTAATCACTTTACCTCCCTGAGCTGACGTTAACTCTCTCAGTCCGACAGGAGAGGACTCTCCCTCTCCTTATTGTTGAAACAGCTACTAATCTCCGTTAGCTCCAAGCTAGCACCAAATGCTAACAACAACACCCGTAACTCTCTCTGTCTCTATCTCTTTCTTTCTATCTCTCTCTCACAAGATGCGCTCGTGCCGCACACACACAGACGCTCCTCCGTGACGATGACCGCTTGCGTAAAAAAATAATAATAAACACATTTAAAAAGTGGGGGGGACACAAATGGGAATTTGAAAAGTGGGGGGGACATGTCCCCCCTGTCCCCAGTTTAAATTACGCCCATGCCCCCTATACCTGGCCTGCAAAGGTCTAAAACGATCCATGCTGGTTTAATACCAGCATGTGTACAGAAAATTGAGGGTAATTTGGAAGGCACATGCAGGGTTTGAGGGTAATTATAAGGGAATATTGTGCTACAACGTTTAGGTGTCGGTGACCTAGTGGTACAATTTGAAGGCAAATGAGAAATCCAAGGAGGACACAGTGGATGGAAATGTTCTGGATTGATGAGCAGAGCATCATACTGGGTCAGTCTTTATGCAGACTACCTGCAGGGCAGCACAGTACTTTGAATTTAATAATTAATAAGATCTTACTCATTTGTTCTCATATTCATATTAATAAGGATTTAATGAGGACTGAGGTGCCATACCATGTAATTACATTAAACAATTCAGTTGCATTATTTTCACATGGTTTAAAGACGCTTACTTTTTCATTTCATCCACTCAATTTAAAAGGAAGTTACTTGAATGCAAAGATGAAAACACTGATACACCCACACAAACAAAAGTACAGAGAGAGCGAAAATCAAAAAGGTTAGAGCAGAACATACAGCTCAGTGTTCTTCCTCAGGCTATATTGATGTGCAATGGAAAAGGATCCCAGAAGAGTATTCTCAACAACATGGTGTTTCATTTTCTCAGAGATACTGTCCGCTCACCTTAGCACTATCTGGTGGCAAGGGGGCGGCTGGAGGGTCTGCATCAGGTGTTTGTACCCCGGGGTTGGGGCACTGAGGGTCTGCATGCTCAGGCCCCACCACCCCTGACTGAGAACAGCCACAGAGAGAGTGAGGCTCCACCTTCCTGGCAGAGATCAGGTAGGTCTTCAGGCCTGAAAAGACAGAAACAGAGAGAAAGAGAAGGATGTTACTTGCATTTGTTCTTACTCTCAGATCAAAATGGCCTTTTTTTGGATAAGTCATCCCATGGTGTTGTTTTAGGATTCCACAGATTCAATACAGGATGAATTCCCTCAGTGAATACCATTAACAAGTATTCACATAAAAGTAGAATAAAGAGATGGAGAAGCAGAACATATCTACGAGTTGAAAAAGCCAAAGACCCTTACATGAGTCATATTTGCTTCCATAAGCATATACATAAAAAATGTGTGATGCATTTGTGAAGGGTTTCAAATGTTTTTCTCTCTCTAGAATTAGACAGGTGAGCCAGAGAAGAAGTGGGAGTGCTTAAACGAAACTGAAAATCCCTTGTCAGCCAAAGTTGTGCATCCTGGGTATTTATCCAAAAGACTTTGTCTCTAAGAAGAGTGAGCGTGCACTATAGATTTGTGTCTTTTACAAGCGAAGAGGGCAATAGCTATAGAATGGAAAAATGTGAACAAACCAAGTATAATATATTAAGGATCTGTCAGCAGGTGCTGCTTTAGAAAAACTAATATACATTACTAAGGAAAGCTGGCAGTTTTTGAAAATATCTCTGGGAGCTTCATGGAGATTTTGAAAAAGAATGTTGGTAATGATCAATAAAACCTTTCGGATTTCTGTACTTTGTTATCCATGTATCATCTGTATACTGACCTGTGTTTATTTACATGCCTATTCATTTGATTGTACACTGTATCTGCCACCTAGAATGACCGTTTTATGTATGTGTAATGTTCATTATATTTGAAAACTTCAATACAAATATTGTTAAAAAAGAAAAAAGAACTGGGAGTGCTTAAGAGACAATCACCACGACACCATAGCCGGACGAAGAGTTTCCTAGGAAGTCTCCCATATAAAGTTCTTAATCTTTCTAAGAAATTAAATAATGACTTTTTCACATATGTTTCCTTCAGCTGCATGTACACATGCATCTATTTGCAGAGTTCCTGCATGTTGTGAGGTCCCAATGACCATGAGAGAGTAACAGTTGGAGACATAACAGGCCAGGGTCAAATATTTGAACACCTGCGTCCTCCCACTTCTATCATCATGTTATCATTTCTATGAGTCCTACAAGGTGTGTGTGTGTGTGTGTGTGTGTGTGTGTGTGTGTGTGTGTGTGTGTGTGTGTGTGTGTGTGTGTGTGTGTGTGTGTGTGTATAAGTACCTGTGACCAAGTGCTTAGCCACATAATCTAACTGTCAGTGGAGTTTCAGCCCCTGGCTCTGAGCATTGTCTGTCTTAAGTACTCTAGACAGGCCTGCCACTGCCCCCCCCCCTCTGCTGAACCACCCTGGGGCTGCACTGTGACACACTCTGAGACCACACATGAGTAACACAATCACACAATCTTATTTTCAATGATACACATGCACTCAAATATATACAAACAAAGATATAAGTAGCTCAAGAAGCAGAAGCCAAAATACCCCCTGAACCTACACACAGTGAGCTGAGGTATAGATGGACGGCTTTGCTGCTGCTGGATCAATAGCCAGGTGGATGGGGATTCAGGGGAAGGGAAATTAAGGTGGCAACCAAGAACTAACTCCCTGCACCAGTGATGCAGAATGACACAGCAGTGAGAAGAGGCACCAGGAAACTGGGGGGGGGGGGGGGGAGCGTTTGACCTCCAGTTAAAGATGAGAATGTGTGGAGTGGTATCAAAGACCAGATCCACGGACACACAATGGATGCACACACATGCCGCTTTGACTGATTTATTAGTTTTGCTAATAAAAATCCTTCCCTGCCTCCCACAAGTGAGTTCTATTTCGTCCCTACTCGACCGCCAGAAGCGCCGTGCTTGCAGCCATTGGATACTGTCCATCCCGCAGGCATGGGCAGTTCCGAGCACGAATAACAACAAAGTCACCTGTGACCTCATGCTGACTACGGCTTCAATCTACGTCATAACACTGCTTGTGCGCTGTGCAGAGCCTCGACGGACAGGTTTGTTTCAACTTGTTGCTGTGAATGGCTGTGTCCCCCGCACCCTCGTCCCAGCTAAGTGGTCCTGATTGCGTCTTATTTATTGTTTGCTTATACTTTTCCTGGTGATGACAGTGGTTCCCAGCTTCCTCTCCCATAAAGTTGCACCTTATTATGCTCTTTTTGAAAGTTCTGCTTGTCGGCGTTGTGCCCCAGGCTCATCATATAGGCTTTGTCCAGCGTTTATGCTGCGTCTCTCATATCAATATAGTATGGACAGCCCAGTGTGCCATATTATTTTGCCCGTTTTTTGTTTAGATGCAGAGAGTAAGGGAAACTGTAACTACGGTCCTAGCCATGTAAGCACTGGCATGGTTACTACTGTGACCATGGCCTAAAAGGGTTGAAGTATTATTTGAATATCTTGAAAGGATTAAAGTAACGTGTATGGCAGGAAATTCAGATCGTATATTCATTTTATATGTCACCGCCTCAATATATCGTGCGGTGGTGTTAAATTTGAAGGAACACAAGTACATTTTTCCTCCCTTTTAAATATAGCGCAATAGTCTTTTCTTCCACTTTTATTTGTAACAAAAATGGTTTTTTGGCTATCTGTGATTTTTTTTTTGTTTTTTTTTTTTTTTAAGAAGGTATAATACAAATGACCATTGACATACCTGCTATGCAGTTCCCGGACCTCTGAGAGGCCCCTGAGATCTCTGGCTTCCTCGTTAACAAGTGTCAAAACTAATATGATTAAGCACAATACGAAGCAAACAACAAGGAACATTTTCACCCAGAATATACAATGCAGTTAGAAGTCGTGTTAGATTAGTGATTCATGTAACAGCATGGGCATTAGTTAAGAAACGATAAGAGTTGGCGTGTTGAAAATTTGCGTTTCCTGCAAAGACGCTTATCAGATCAGGCAGATGATTGGTCACAGGCAGCAAGTTAGAGAGACAATGGTGCTTCTGATTCAAAAAGTAAGCTGACTTGGGGTGCAGGGAAGATTCCAGGGAAGGCCTTAGGCCCCGAGAACAGTTCCACTTGTTAATTTAACCAATCTAAGATGTCATCCGAGACGACTGACGCGCTTTGGATACCCTTACCAGAAATATGCCTTCATAAAGAAAAACATGGACTGTTGTGTGATAAGACAGGAATGATACGGATGTGTGTGTGTGTTGACAGATGTTAGGGCGACATGCCGTACTGTTTCCTCTGTCAAAGAGTCCTCCTGTCATCCGACTCGCAAATCATTGATTGGGGAATCTGCCTAAGGCAGAGCTGGACAGAACAACACAACCACACACACACAACACACACACACACCACACACACCAGGCACACACAACACACAACAACACACACACCACACACAGCCACCACACCCACCACACACCACACACCACACACACAGCACACCCCGCCCACACAACACACACACACACACACCACACACACACACACCACACACACACACACACACACACCACACAGCACACACCATCAGGCACACAGCCACACACACACACACACACAGCAGCACACACACACTGTGAAGCCAACAGAGGAAATCACACTGCGGACCACCTAGCCCTCTGGGGTCCCGCCCAGAACAGTGAAACCGAACGCCAATGGAAACACTGCGCAACTCCACGCTAGCTCGCCTCGCGAAGTGAAACTCCAGGAACAATAACACAAAAGCTAGGGAAGACAAGCGACAAAACTCCTCCCCACGAATGTTTAACAATGTTGTGAGCAATTGTTGAGATCAGCGCTCTGTTTTTGACTGGCCGTGTGTGAGAGGTGGTCTCACGCGGTAATAGATACCTGAGGCCCGGAGTACTCTGGCAGAAGTGCATATACGTGTAGTGAATTGGTGATTGGGTGACTGTATTGTATGTTTTACGCAAAAGCAGATTATTGTTAACCCCTTTAGCCTGGTGCTTTGCACTTTTTCCTCTTTTAAACAAACTCATAAGAGGAAGCCGCCGCGAGGGCAAGAGGTTCTGCCTCCCAACAGGTTTATGCGGCGCTGTTCTAATTCCATGAGGCTAATAGATCTGGTCTTAACATTTGTGTTTAGACTTGGTATGGCCTTGATGTTAGCAGCAGAGCGCTTAGGCTAACACCTGCATGAGCATGTTAAGCTTCATCTATTTAACTCAGCGCCGCTGAGAACGGCAGTGCTCTCGGCGCTCCCGCCTCCCCCGGTGAGCCACCGTCATGGTTGATTGCAAGTCAAGCGGCTATAGGTCGTTGTACATTACTGCTCCCTAGTAGCGACTAGGCATAGATCGCATATGCAGAGAACAATCTTCAGCCTGTGTGATGCAGTGCGGTGGCTTTGCATGCTGTGGCATGATGTGAGGCTACGAGCGCTGCATGCTGGCCTCACCGAGCTAGGCAGACTGGGGGCTCATTCATGTAGCGCGACTGTAGGCTCTCTTGAGCCGCGAAGGACGCCATAGACGGGCTGAGCAACCTCTGCTTGGGCCATCGAGCCATTGAGGGAGAGGTGTCCGCAAAGCCGCACTGCATGAGCATGTAGAATTCAATGAACTCGGCCGCCAGAGTGGCAGAGTCCTCAGAGGTGGGTACGCCTGCCGCCCCCCGAGCGCCCGTCGTCAGCAGTAACTGTGCCTCCACCTCGAGTCTGGGCGTTCCCGACGACTTTGATGGAGGGATGGCGACTGCGGCCGCTCACCGCCAGCCGAGGAGAGAGACCTCCACTCCTCACTGCTTCAGCAGCTGCACGTGCCAGGGCACGGAGGAGCCGTGCCCATGGCGGTCCATTATTACGTGGCGCGGCGC